TTCAGAGGACTGCTAAAAGTAAAAGGTACAACCCTAGTCACCTGTCGCTATCACTCTGAAGGCAGAGGATGAAATGTTTCCTCAGGAACACCACACACACAGGGGAAGAGAAGGTCCCGGATGTGGGCCGGCCAACTTAATAAAGCACTACCACGAAGACTTCTGCCTCAGGCTCTGCTTTATGGAAACCTTTAGATAAAGCAGGACTCTCATCTTATAATTTTTCTGTTCCAGCAGAGAAACCATTTACCCCACATTGGCATTGCTGGACCTCCATCTCTCGGATGGCTCACAGCCCGTCAGTTTCTGGAATTCTCTAGGGATATCTCAGAAGAACTCTCAAATAGGGAATCATGTTCCCAGAGTGGGATCATCCATCATTCCTCTTCTTCTGCCCTGGCTTCTTTGCACAGGAAACCTCAGGCACTGCTGCCATTACTGTTTCCTGATGGCTTCTCAAAGTCAACAGTCGGTCAACTGCGTCTCAGTGTTCTAAGACTGATCTGAAGAAAGAACATCTTTCCTGCCCTCATCAACCTGTGATCATCCCCTCAAATACTCTGTCCTCTATTTCCTATCTTGATGCTCCTAATGGAAAGCTGTCTTGTACTCCAAATCTCAACTTCATGTGGACAATTTAATGTGATACCCTCTCTTGCCTTTTCAGTTTGCTCCAGGAAAGCTTTCATAGCTATGAGAGTGTCAACAGAGAAAAGGAGGCGAAACTGAAAAAAAAAAAAAAAAAAGGCCTTTTTTCTTAGAGTTTCGGAATTGCAATTCCAGAGGGAGCACAGATTCCAGTGTAACCAGGAAAGTGTCGCACCTGAGCTGAGAGAGCAGAGATTTTATGAGAGGAAGAAGGGTGGGGGGAGGGGCAGTCACATGATTTGAATTAGGGAGGAGGAGGAAAAAAAGTCATGACTGGTACTAACAGATTGAGCCATCTGTGTTTACACGTTGATCAAATATATCGGTGTTGTCTGATGAGACCACTCTTGGTATGCACTAATTAACTGCTCTCAGAAAGTCGGACTGGCAGTTTTATGGCCTGGCTGCCAACTGCCCTGCTGGTTTTACCAGCAATTACTTGCAAAACAATCACCCTGACTGGCCCAGTTTAAAAGTTACTTTGTCCAGTTCAAAAGTTCATTGGAAAGGAAAATGGAGCTTCGAAGCAGAGTTGCTCCTGTCCAGAAATTGTATACAGTCTCACAAGAGCAAGCCAGAGGACCAATGGTTAATGCAGAGCCAGACCCTCCTCTTGCTCTTCCGGTCATTCATGTCTTCCCTCCAGTTGTGTGATAAATATATTTGGGTTCACTTTGAAGCTTTCCAGGAGTAGCAGTCTGGAGAAAAAGATTTAAATCTCCTTTGGTTTAACTTAGGAACATTAACAGTAGTTGCATTTATTGACCATTAGTTAGTGTTGGTACCATTTTGGTTCCTCCCACAATCTCGAACTCCTCTTCTGCGATAAGTGTGTTTTGTTAGCCTAATAAAAAGTGCTTTGAACACTGAAATTCAGGTCTCTTGCGGAAGGCTGCAAAATGGTTCCCCAAAGATGTCCACATTCTCATCCCCAGAACCTATGCAATTTGTACGTAACTTTTACCTTCATTGTAAAATAAACTTTGTTGATATGACTACATTCAGGATCTTGCAATGGGAAGATTATTCTGGACTATCCTGGGTGGGTCTGATATAACCACAAAGATTCTTATAAAAGGGATGCAGGAGAAGTCAGAATCAGACAGAAGGGGAGGTGACAGAGCAGAAGGACAGGAAGAAAGGGATTGAGAAGGCTATGCCGATTGCCAGGAAGTTGCGGGAAGATGGCCACGAGCTGTGAAAGGTTGATGGCCTCTGGAAGTTGGAAAGATCAAGGCAATGTAGTCTCTCCTGGGGTTTTCAGAAGGAACCAGCCCTAAGGCCACCTTGACTTTAGTCCAGTAGAATTAACTTCTGTCTTCTGACCTCCAGAACTGTAAGAGAATAAGTTTGTGTTGCCTTAAGCTACTAAAGTTGTGATAATTTGCTGCAACAGCAACAGAACACTGGTGTACTGCTTCCCCCCTTTGGTCAGATTGCTCCCCCTCTTCTCCAGAAATACAGGGGCCACCGGCAGCTTTTTGGCACGGCTTAGCAATTTACTCAAATTAATACTCCATTCTAGTAACAGCTACATAGAGGAGATTCTTTTCTTGTTCCCCTTTTATGAAAGGAGCAATGAGGTTTTGATGAATCAAGAAATTTGACCTTGAGCCACACAGAAGGTGTTAGGACTGGAAAACCACTGTCAGACCTGTCTCATTCTTCACAGCCTGTGCTCTCAATCAACGTATGAACCAGCTGAAGCTTCTGCATCTTTCTTTTCAGTCACCAAGTTAACAAGGCCTATGTGGAGCTTTTCATATTCGTATTTTAAAATTTTATCCTGGGGGCACCTGGGTGCCTCAGTTGGTTAGGTGTCTGCCTTCGGCTCAGGTCATGATCCCAGGGTCCTGGGATCAAGCCCCACATCAGGCTCCTTGCTCAGCGGGAAGCCTGCTTCTCCATCTGCCTGCCCCCCCCTCCGCCCCACCAGCTTGTGCTGCCTCTCTCTCTCTGACAAATAAATAAATAAAATCTTTAAAAAAGTAAAATAAAATTTTATCCTGAATGCACACGGAGATGTTCTGCATCAGACAGATTTCTTATTAATTACCTCCCAGTGAGTGAGTGTCACTTCCTGCTTGCCTCAGGCCTTACTCCTGGGGTAATGTGATGAAAGGCAGATCAGCTGTCCCACTCCAAAAAGGGGGGCTGTGGAAAACACAATGGTCTCTGCTTATAAAGGGGAAGGAGGACTTTGATCCATTGCCCTCCTGAAAGGGTCTCCTTGGTAATTTGCTAACACTAAATCCCAGCTCTAACCCCGTGTTATATAAGTAAATCTTTCCAAGAGCCAAATTACCCCTGGTCTCCACTGGTAGGACCTATGGGTGTCTCTTAAATTCTGTGGCTTTATCTATTTTGACATGTGAATACCTGGAGAGCTAGCATTCCAGTCTCCCCACCACCCTGATGCTTAACCTGACACCTGTGCCTGGATGTAAACATTGGGTCCTCTTTCAGGAGATTAGAAAAATTCTATCATCTCTTAGGATCGGAGCAATTAACTAGACAAATGACAGATTTAATACTCATGGTATGTGAAGAGGCGAGGACTTTTACAAGAACACTGAGAAACCCAAAGTTTTATTTCCCATAGCCTAAAATATATTGCCCTTGACTTGGGGTTAAGGAAGGACTCAGTGCTGGCATTTCTGGATCTTTCAGAATGGTTTGCATGTGTTCACCTCGATACAGTTTGAAGAGTGCTGTTCCGTCTTATCTCCTTCATTCTGAGCAAGTACCATTGGAGTTATGAAGAGACTAGCATACTTAATTTTCAGGGGAGGACATAGAGGCTCCGAGTAGCTGTTTCTTGTCTGCAGTTACCCAGCAACTTAAGACAAATGTGGGCATGTGCCTCCCTCTTCCTCCTGCTGAAGGCTATAAACGTGCCCAGGAATGGGTCCTGAATCAGAGACAGGCACACATCCTACCTGGCCTTCCCCACAGGTGCCCAAACTCTCCTCCCTTTCAGATTTAGAATACATTCTCTTCCAGGTGGCTCAGATCTTTTCATCATCAGATGAGAGCCTTTGTTTCTATTGTGGAAGCTGGATGTATTCCCACTGCCCTGGGGCCGTTTAAATTCAAATTTGCAGGTTTAGAAACATTTGAACCATCGCCATACTTGTGAAGCACTGAAACAGTGTTATACTTGGTGACTGTTATCGCTCCATGGAGATTAGAAAATAAAGACCTTCTCATTTAGACCTTTAGGCAGATGAAACCCTCAGCCAACTCACTTTTTCTGCTTTATTCCCCCATTACACAAATTGTTTGAGTTCTAAGGAAGAATGCAATTTACACTTTAGCTCCCAGATTCATTAAGAGGGAAAAGAATGTATAATTGAAAAACCATTTCACAAGATAACTTAAATGAGAGCTCTTTTAAAAATATGTATAAACATTTGCAAAATTTTAAAGAGCTCCAATTGAATAATAGTTGGTTATACTGAAACAAAATGAATATTTTACATGAAACAGAGATTCTCAGGGTGAGGGGCTGCAAGGATTTGGAAAGAGCATCAAATATGCCTTCATGAACAGGAGTGGAACTAAGGAATGGCCGCTAGCAGCAGTCTCTAAGTGGGTGTGACCTATAGTCCGTTAGAAACTTACAGTGCTTGGGTATTCGGGAGGAACAACAGATCAAGAAGGAAACACACACACACACACACACACACACACAAACTAAGCAAGGAACTTTTGTAAATAGCTTTATTTTCATGCTATTTGTAAAAATACATCGATAAATATTTAAACTTCTCTATTCCAAGACATAGAGAAACACCACATAATTACACTAAACAAGGCACTATGCCTTACAAGGAAGACATAAAATGTCCAAGGAATATTTAAAACATTGGAGTTTTTTTAAAGCTTCAACATCAGAAATGTTGACCACATACTGTGAAATTCTCTCCATAAATAACAACCAGCATTCTTCTCAAGAGTACAAAAACAGAGGTGCACATACATCCATGACCTTAACAGGGATTTATTTGCTTGGATCCCACACTATTTATCACCAGCCTTCATCATGGTGACTGATATGGCATGGTTTCCCCCACCAGCCCCCCAAGAAATAATAATTTAATGAATGTAGAATATTTAAGACTTGTCATCTACAAATTAAATAATAGAACTGAACCAACTTTGATGGAACATAAAAATGACCTTTTAAGACAATAGTACAGCAAATTACCAAATTCATATCTTTAAATATTAGCTAGGACATTAATGTGCTAGCTTTGAGAAAATAAATAAATAAATAATAAATAAATAAATATGTTTTAAAAAATAGAAGAATACTCCTAGGCAAGAGTCAAATACATTGAACACAGTCCAGGGGGTCTCAGGAGGTTTTTGTTTCTTTTCTTCTGCTCCCACTTCACTAAGGCTGCAACAGTAAGTCACAGGCGTCTGCCTTCTCTCTAGCTCAGTCGGTGCTGCCCCTGTGAGGAGAAAATGGTTGCTGTTAATAGGATTCCATAAACTGATGGCATAGCCCCGTGCCATGTGGTCACTACCTACATCACTGCCCTATCAGGCAGAAAATGCCAGGCTCCTGGATGCTGTCTAATCAGGAATATGGGGCCTGTGATCCCAATTGTATTATTAGCCTCAAAGAGCCAGAATGTAATGTCACAGTAGACTAAAAAATTACATTCGGGACTTCACTTAAACCTCATAGCAAACACCTGGAAGTAGCTACTTCTATTTTTCTATACAATTGAGACTTAAAGAGATTCAGTACTTTCCCTGGGCTTACAGGAATAATAAAATGTGGAGCCTAAATTACACTTAGGGCAGGGATTCACGGCAAAGTCCTTGATTTTCGGTCCTTCAGCTAAACCCTGGGTTTCCTTGGTAAAACTTTCTGGAGGCATTTGCCAGTATTTGTGACCAATGACTCTAGTCCCACGTGTGAACAAAAAGCACAACTCACTTGTTTAGCATCTTATTGATGATTTTCTTGACCATGGGGGCTTCGGGGTTGAGACAAACCTCCTGCCCATTCTTGAGAGTGGCTCTGCAGGGAGAAGGCAGAATCCGCGTTGGCGGGAGGGTGGGGCTGGGCGGGGGGCCGGCGGGCATCGGGGCGCTGGGGGCCACCAGGACGCGAGCAGCCGCAGCGGTGTGGGGCCTCACTTACATGACTTCGGTTTGGGCGCAGTGGGGTCCCGAGGGCGTCACCTTGACGTTCTGGATGTTCTTGAGGTGAATTCCCTGCAAGGTCTGCAAGCACTGGCAGCGCAGCTCGGCGACCACGGGCGCCCCTGCGGGGAGAACAGACCGGGTTAGCGGGCGGCCCCGCGGTGGGCGCCCAGCGCCCCCCCCCCCGTCCCGCCCGTGGGCTGGGGGCGCGCCGAGTCTCACCTGCGGCGCGGCGGCCGGCGGGGACCAGCAGCAGGAGCAGCAGCGCGGCGCCGAGGAGCCGGAGAGCGCGGGGTGCGGCGGCGGTGGCGGCGCGGGCCATGGGGCTCAGCTCGGAGAGTCGGGGCGGCGGGGCCTGGAGCTGGCGAGCTGGAGCGCGAGCTGGCGGAGCGGATTCTGTGGCTCCCGGAGCCGGGAGAACCGCTTTTATCCCTGGCGGGCGCGGGGAAGTGAGCAGTCCCGGGGCCGGGGAAATTCCCGGCTCCGCCGGTCGCTCCCGGGTCGGAAAGGACAGCGCGGCCCCGCCCCCGCGGTGAAGGGGGACCCGCCCCCCCTTTCCCGCCCGGCCCCCGCGTGTCCCTGCGAGTAGGGGATGTCCTCTTTCCGCCCAAATCCCCAAAGGAGGCGTGAGTGGCCTTGCTTGGGTATGTGCCACTTACTGGAGACAGGCTCCTTGAACTTTAGTTATCCGGATTGGGGGAATAAGGCTAGGGCGGAGGGGGTGACATGCTTTTCTCTTTGTTACTTAACGCATAAATGTCTTCTGGTTTGATGATTTTGCTTATGCCTGCAATAAGCAGACTCTGTGTTAAAATAGCTTTGTCATCTCACACTAGACATAAGAATGTTCTCCTTGTTCCTGGTATTTTACAATCACAAATAAATTATACTTTGTGTCATATCCTGAAGGGGTGAGGGGACGAACAGTGTCAAGCGTTTAATTCAGTGTTTAATTTAAGATAAAGTGTCTTAACCCTACCTACCGCCCTTCCTCTATGCAATTTTGGAACTTCCAGAGCTGGAGTAAATCCATGAACATCACCTTTTTGGTCTAGAGGGCGTGGATTAATCCGTGAAGTAAGGCGCGGGTGGTCACGTAAGAGCTGTTGTGGGGAAGGAAAGCTGCGTTGGGCTCACGGGGTCCAGTTTCTAGTTTTGTCCAAACACAAAAGGGTCAGAGGAACCAGGAGCTGATGCCTAGTGTGAGTAGCACCCTTTGCTTGCCGAAACAGCAAAAAAGAGGTGTTCCTGTGAAACATTTAAGTGCTAGATCACCAATCTAATCGCACTTCCTTGTTTTATGTTCACAAATCTCATTTCATTTCCATGTTATGTGGACTTTCCTGTCTCCAGTGATCCTGATATCCTCTGTAGAGAAATAACTGCAGTCATATTTTGTTTTTTACTGATCTCTAATAAGACATGTCAAGCTGTTAACGCTAGCGTTTGTCATTCAGGAGCTCATTTTTCACCCTTAGTTTTAATGTTGTTTTTTTGTTTTGTTTTTTGTTTTTGTTTTGTTTTGGATTACGTGTAGGTTTCAGATGACTTGCGTGTGATTCTGGATGAAGGTCTGTGAGTAGAGTGGGAGTTACCCAGTGCATCGGTGTGTAGAAAGAAGGGGGGGAGGAGATGCTGTAGAGATGCACAGAGGCACAGAGCATCACTCTGCTCCACACAGACAGGGCAGGAATTTCGGTTCTCCCCATGACAGGTATCAGACATTTAACCCGTCTTTGCCTTAGTTTCTCACCTGTCAAATGGAGATTAAAGTTATTATCTACCTCAACAGGTAGGGCTGGTGAATAAATGTGTTAACATTTATAAAACACCAGTATATACAATATGCTCTAAATCATTTTTAAATAAAATAGAAATTGCTTTTTCTACACTGCAAAACTGAAACTACCTGGGAAAAAAATTTAAAAAAGAAAACACCTCCTTCAACCAATATAAAATTTTGTACTATTTTTTTTCTTAAGAGAAAACTCAGAATGAATTTTTTGTTGGCTAGTTTAATTGTTCAGTAATTTTATAATTCTAATTTCAACTACACAATGAGACTAAAACTAAAGATGAGCCATCTTATTAGAAAAGATTATGAATGACTAAATTATAAAGATTTGTCTTTACACTTTTTTTAGTAATCATCAGTACAATCCTGCAAAAAAACCCAAGAAATCTAAATTTTTTTAAAAGAAGTAGGAAATGAAGGATGACCTAGAGTTTATAAAATATTAGTAACTTAGCAATAACTGAGAATTTGTGTAGATACTACTGTTGTTATCCTTATTTTTCTGGGATTCTCAATTAAAAATACTGTGGGGATTTTTTTGAGATAATCAGTAGCTCAGAATTATAATAGCTGTTCTTTAAACGTTAAAAATATGGTTTTATTTTTCTGATTTTCATTGTGTATCTGCTTATTATAGAAAAATTATGAAGGACAGAAAACACGAAGAGATTATGAAGACTTTTTGACTTTTATCCAAGAAACAATCTATAGCAGATCTGCCCATTATTTTTCAACATCCTTAGCTATTTACATGTGTTTATGTGCTTAAAAGATTGCTTAGTAAACATAAAGTATTATAATATAGCACTTTAATAATCATTGTTCTAAACCTTTTGTATATATAAAACCCACTTAATCTTCTCAACTTTGTCTCCACAGCTTTTCTTCACAAGGAAACAAAGGGGCAGGGAATTTAGGTAATTTGCCAAGGGCTCGAAGTTAATAAAATTCACAATTTGAGCTCTAGCCAGTGCTGCTTTAGCCACCACAAGTTAAAAAATTTTTTTTTCCTAAGACAAGTAATAGATAGTTTCAGGAGAGCAGGTTTGTTTTGTTTTCGTTGGTTTAAGTATTTTGCTATTCTTATGGTTACATAGTTAAACTTCACCTTTCCTAAAGCTTAAAAATAGCAAACTGCTGAAAAGTCCCCAGTATCTTATTTCACTAACAGCAAGAAGTTTCTTTTGTGGAATGAATAAGATATAGTTAAATTCAATAAAATCTACATTTGTCTATTTCTCTGATTTTCCACATCAATGGACTTACACTTCCAAAATCAGGTCAGTGGGATGAACACTCTACTCAGAGTTTCCCAGAAGGGAACTGGGCATTTTAGCTCTTATTTGCTGAAATAAGGATCACAGTTTTCTGCTTGACCCAGTTTGGGTACTTTATCATATTTTAATAATGGAACTATATTGCCTTCAGCATTAAGAAGACTCTACCCAGAACGTTACTCTCTTTATAAGTTAAAAAAAAAAAAAAAAAGAAAAATATTGTTCTAATGCTTTCCAGGTCCAAACCAAAGTATTCGCATAAATAAATACTCAGGGTGAATGAATAGGGCATCAAAAAATTTATACCAGTGAACGAAGAGTTGAAGCATTTCAAGAATTAGCCTCAAAGATATAGAATTATCTATAATTTTATGTCTAAGACTTGCTTGATAAACATCAGTTGCTTACAAAATGAAGTACAAAAGAAAGGGCCTTTTATTTCTGCCTTAATATATCAATTTTCCTAATCCAATCCCTAACAGTCCCATATTTACTTTTTCAGATAATTTAAAGGGCAGTGGTATTCCTAAGCCTAAAAAATAATCCAATTCTTTATTTTTCCAAGCGTCTTCCCCAACTAATTACTCATTTTATGAGCTGAATGACAGATCTCTATGCCCAAACTTTAAACGAATGCAATCACCAATCTTAAAAGAATAGAGCATCCCTAAAATAAAAACATCAGTGACTAAGTCCCATTTCGAGCTACCATATTTACTGCATCTTGCAGATTGGATTGACACCATCTAATCTGCCTTTACAGTCCAGGCTTGGTGCTGCCTTCCAGAGATGATGGAGCCACAGGAATGGGCTCTGTTGTTCCCACTCTGGCCTCGGGAAATCGTGACATCACAACTGCCACCCCTATTTTGTTGCAATGCCTGCTTCAGGTAGAAGGACTCTGGCTCTAAGGGGAGAAGAATGGAGATGTCTGAATGTGACATGAAATCCCTCGATCCACCCACTTCCTCAGTCCAGAGCATTTTGTCCAGTGTTAATGTCATAAACCTGATCCAGTTTCTAGTACATTGGTCATTTCTACCTGGCATGAGCTTCCTCCTTCTTCTGGTTACAGAACTGTGGTTTTCTATTGGGGACCTTCCTTTCTTCCTTCCAATCTGGGTAGTTCAGGTAGGGTGACCCTGCTCCAAAGCTCCAGGACTGGGCTGATGACCCAGAGTAGTATTGGTCAGTCCTTCCAGTCTGGGTCTAACCCCCCAGCCCAGTTCTGATAGGTACAGGGGTGGGGAAGTGACCTAAGCCTGGCCAAGTCAGAAAAATTTCCTGGAGTCTGTTTTGTCAGGAAATGGTTGGAAAAACAAACCTTTGCTTCCTGTGGGGTTATAACTACTAGAACAGAAACTTGAAACCTTGTCAGTGTTTGAGGAGAGCTTTGTAAAGTGAGCACAGAGAAAAGCCACCTGAGCTGGAGTGAGACTAATTACTAAACAGAATTTTTGAACGGCAGCTTGTCAGTCTTTTACTTTTTTTTTTTAAAGATTTTATTTATTTATTTGACAGAGAAAGACACAGCGAGAGAGGGAACACAAGCAGGGGGAGTGGGAGAGGGAGAAGCAGGCTTTTCGTGGAACAGGGAACCTGATGCGGGGCTCGATCCCAGCTCCTTGGGATCATGACCTGAGCCGAAGGCAGACGCCCAACGACTGAGCCACCCAGGTGCCCCTCAGTCTTTTACTTTTACAGGTCAAATGATTCGCCTTCTCATGAAGCCATTTTGAGTTGGGCTTTTGTTACTGATTCCACTTATTGTTAATTACCTTTCCAACCAAAAGGGCAGTTCAACTCGAATTGAATTCCTTTCTTTCTCCCTTTGTTTCAACATTGTCATTGATCATTTACCGAGCATGTGTAAGGTGGGAATGAAGTTTGGCCAGGGATATTGAGAGGAATAATACTCTGCTGTCCTCTGACTCTCAGTGCAATAGGGGAAATGAATGTACAAATAGAAGATTTTAGAAAAGCCTGTAATTACCACAGCAAACTGTTCCCAAGGTGTTAGGAGTGAGGAAGAGCACCTAATTCAACTCTTACAGAGGGGGTTTATGAAACTTGTGAGAGAAGTTTTCCTGAAAGAGCTGACCTGACTCTTAAGGATGAGGAATTTTCTAGGTAAACAGAGAACACTGATGGGCAGAGAACATTCAGGAGGGGGCCAGATAAACAGAGGCCTAGCAATGGCATAGAGCATGGTGAGTCTTAAGAGCAGCAAGCTGGAACTCACTCTGTGAGCAGAGACTGAGGAAAGACTGAGGTAGAAGGAGGTGGCAGGCATCTGACACTGGAGGGCCATGTGCTGGTAGGACCCTGTTTGTCGGTCAGCATCCGGTATTGATGGTATCTCAACTGGGAGGCCTCTGTAGGCATCTCAAAGTGTTTCCATGGCCCTGTTGCACAGACCACACTATGACCTTTACTGGCTATCTCCCATAGGGTGGGTGGGGTATAACCTAAAATTCAGGATATGTGCAAAAAAAATGAAAAGGTCGTAGATATTGAATTAAAAGACATTTACTAGGCACATGCAAGGTACAAGGGACTGTGGTCAGTTTTGCAAAAGATGTATAGTGGATAAAACTGACACTGCAAATGTGAAGTTCTTCTTCAATACTAACCTGCATACTTTCTTCTGCAACATAGTCAGTCTTTCCTTCTGTCCCCATGGTAAGGCCATCCTGATGATTTTAACCATTTATAATTATTTAAGTTCATTTCGATTAACTCTGAGAACCATCCAGTATGTTAGATTTGGGCATTTATTCAAGGCTTTAAAAATAATAGATTTCAATATAAGCTTTGTATTTCCATTTTCTTAAGTTTTTTTATTTATTCTATTTTTTTAATTTATTTATTTACTTCAAGAGACTGAGAATGAGAGAGAGAGAGAGCGAGAGCGCGCACATGAGGGGGGAGGTCAGAGGGAGAAGCAGACTCCCCGCCAAGCAGGGAGCCCGATGCGGGACTCGATCCCGGGACTCCAGGATCATGACCTGAGCCGAAGGCAGTCGCTTAACCAACTGAGCCACCCAGGCGCCCTTTTATTTATTCTAAAGAGAGAGAGAGAGGAGGGGCAGAGGGAGAGGGAGAGAATCTCAAGCAGACTCCCTGCTGAGCACGGAGCCTGATGCGGAACTCGAACTCGCAACCCTGAGACCATGACCTGAGCTGAAATCAAGAGTTGGACACAGTCGACTGAACCACCCAGGCACCCCATTTTCTTAACAATTTTTTAAAAAATTTTGTGGCAGTAGTAATGAGTTATCAAATTATATTCCATATACTACAAATGAAAGAAATACAGAAATGCCAAGGTTACAAAAGGGTATGTCAAGAAATAAATACGGAAAATGAGGAAATGTATTGTTTAATACATTTGGCTAAAACAGGCATGAAAACAACATGATGACCCTGTTTTGATGCTTCCTGTATTATGGAAGTGAAATTTGGGAAGTTAAGAGATGAACTAGAAACCACAGCAAACACATTACGCATCTGTGTGGATACATAGTCAACTAGGAACATGACAAATCGTAAAAAACTTGATCAGAGAATATCCTCTGTAACATTTCAACATTTGGAAATGTGTTAATACATTTCTTAGGGCCCACATATGGTCTGTTTTGTAAAATGTTCCCTGTGTGTTGAAAAAATATGTATGATTTATGCAGTTGTTGAGTGAAATGTCCGGATTACCAACACTCTGGTCAAGTTGGGGGATCCTGTTCCTTTACCCTTCTATTCTGTTACTGATTCTTTACTGCTGTGCCTATTAAGTACTGAAAGAGGCTTATTAGAATCTTTAACTATGATTATGGTTTCATGCATTGCTCCTTCTGGTTTCTCTCTTAATATATCTTGATAAATATTAAGTTCATGGAATTTTAGGATTGTCTCTTGTAGAAGTACCTCCTTTTTATTTTGACTCAGTCTTTTTTTTAATCTCTAAGTTTACTTCTTTCCTTAAGTCCTAATATATTAAGCCTTAATTAATGTATCAATTATTAACCAATGTATTAAAAATTTATCTTAATAATACATTAGCGCTTATTAACAAGTAATGCATCAGTATTTCCACACTAGGTTTCTCTCAGTTAGTTTTAGCATGATATAACACTTTCAGTTCTTTTAATTTCAAGCTACCGGGGTCTCAATATTTAAAGTGTGTCTCTTTTAAGAAACATAGGTTTTTTGGGTCTTATTCATCAATCTCTATAAAAAAAAAGTTAATCTTTGGGGCATCTGGGTGGGTCTGTTGGTTAAGCATCTGACTCTTGATCTCAGCTCAGGTCTTGATCTCAGGGTCATGAGCTCAAACCCCATGTTAGATTTATTTATTTATTTTTGTAAGATTTATTTATTTATTTTTGTAAGATTTATTTATTTATTTGAGAGAGCGAGAATGAGAGAGAGTACATGAGAGGGGGTTGGGTCAGAGGGAGAAGGAGGCTCCTTGCTGAGCAGGGAGCCTGATGTGGGACTCGATCCCGGAACTCCAGGATCATGACCTGAGCCGAAGGCAGTCGCTTAACCAACTGAGCCACCCAGGCGCCCCCCCCCATGTTAGATTTAGTCAGCCTGTCTCCTTTGTCTCCTCTGATCTATGACAGAATCTCATTATTGCTTTGATTTTCATGACTTCAACAGATCTGAAGAATACTTGTTAAGTATTTTGTAGAATGTTTCTGAATTTGGATTTTTATGATGATTTTCTCATGATCCTACTGAGCTTATGGGTTTTGGGGAAGAATATGATGGAGGCAAAGTGCCCTTCTTACCATATCATGTTGGGAGGTGTTCCTGATATTCACTTGACACAACTGGCCATAATAACCTTCATCACTTGGTTAAGGCGGGATCTGCCAGATTCTCCACTATAATGTTGTTTTTCCCCTTTTCTTAGTCTCTTCTTTGGAAGAAAGTCACAAAGCCCAGCCCGTATCCATGGGGGGAGGGGAATTAAAACTCACCTTCAGAAGGAGAAAGACTTGTATTATTAGTCATTCTTCTATAAGGAAGATTTTTCCCTTCTCCCCCTATCCCATCTGCTGTTTTGCTTCTTTATTCCTTATTTTGTATAATTCAGATATTTTCTTTTATTCCATTTTATCTCCTTTTCAGATTTTTTTAAATCCAAAATTTTCATTTCCCTTTTAGTGGTTACCTTAAAAATTGCAATCTATATTCCTGCCACATTACAATTTTCCTTCACTTAATACTTTGTCCAACAATTGAAGACATGTTTTATATTCTAAATCCATTTCTCTTCCTACCTATCTTTTATTTTTGTTATGTATTTTACTTTACAGCATGTACTTATCTCCATAGATCATTCTTTCTTCTTCTTTTTTTTTTTGCTTCAGTAAGTATTAGTGTAGATCACTATTTTTATTAAATAACACAAATTGTTCAAGTTCTTAGGAAGAATCCACTTTTCCACTTTTTGGTCCCAGCCTCATCAAAATGGAAAGAATTGCATAATTGTTTGGAAATCCACTTACTCAAAGCCTTTAATAGGAGCTCTTGTTACAATATTTATAAAAATCCAGAAGTTTATAAAGAACAAATTTTGAATATTGAATCAGTGTGAAAAGCAGCAATATTTTGTGTAAAACTAGGACTCTCAAGGTGCTTGGGGATAGTAGTGTGTCAAATATCCCCTAAATGAGAGAAAGGTAAGGAAAGTAAAAACTAGAAGCAGGCATAAATTTAGGTGTGACCTACAATCTAACTGTATAATACCTTGGGCACCTGGTAGGAACCAAAAATCGAGAAAAATAAAACAAAACCCAGGCATGTTATTTTTTGCAAAATGTTTATTGTCTTATTGTTTGTAAAAACATTACAGTAGTTTTAACTTCTCTGTTCCAAGACAGAGCAACATTGCATAATGAACATTAAACAAGGCATTATGCCCTACAAGCAAGACATAAAATGTCCAAGGGAAGCTTCAACATAAAAATGTTGACCACATAATGTGAAATAATTTCAATAAATAACAACTGACATTCTTTTAAACAAGTACAAAAATAGATCTGTACACACTGTTTAACTGCTTCGACTCCCTCCCCCCCGGCCCCAACCCATCAATGTACCCGGGGCATTTGATGAACTCCTGGAAACACTGGTTTCTTGAGACATTTAAAACCCATCATCTTCAGATAACAATCAGGACTGAGTTTGATTAAACACATTCACATCTTTAAATACTAACATGTAAAATATTAAATATGAACTTTGAAAAATAAATAAATACAAACATAAATAGAACTCATAATAGTCAAACACATTTAAGGCCTTTCTAGAAGTCTCCAGAAGCCAGTTCTCTTCTTCATTTTCAGTTCCTGTAAGGGTCTTTCAGGAACCACCACCAGCGAGCTTCTTACTTGTCTGAGGTCAGTTGGTGCTGCCCCGATGAAAAGAAAAGGGTTACTGGTACAGGGGCTAAGGAACCCTGCTATTCTCTCACACTGGCCCTGAGGCTGGAGGGATTTCTGTATGCAGACCCTGGCCCAGCCCTGTGCCCAGACAAGGTCCCACGGTACCCACTGCCCTGCACAGCAGGGAACTGGCTCTTTTATTGAGGAGGAGTGGAGCGGGGCTGTGGAATAAACTCTCTTACTGACTTGAAAGAGCTAAAACATAGCGCTCACTGTCACACTGGGTTAAAATATTACATGCAAGACCTCACTTAAACCTTATACAACCCATGAAATAGCTATTATTATCTATCCCATTTTGCTGAGGCTCAAAGCCATTAGAAGACTTTCATTAGAAAACTTTCCTAGACTTGAGCTTAGGGAGGTCTCAGAGTCCTTGCTCTCCACAACTAAGCTTCAGAGGTCCATGTTGTCCAAAGCCAGGGGTTCCACTTCTCAAGGCTGAAGCCCATCAGGGATGGAGGTAAGTACTGTTTGTTCCTTAATGGGTAGGGGGTATTTGGGCATCATTGGCCAAATCTACTTCATCTTTTAGGAATACACATTTACCCACACTCATTTGCATGGGGATGGAGGGTACTGGAAATATCCTTCTGGCACCAGAACAGATGAATGATCTTACTAGCAGATTTCATTGTGAAATAATAATGATTTTCAGTCCTTCAGCTAAACCCTGGGTTTCCTTGGTAAAACTTTCTGGAGGCATTTGCCAGTATTTGTGACCAATGACTCTAGTGTAAACAAAAAGCACAACTCACTTGTTTAGCATCTTATTGATGATTTTCTTGACCATGGGGGCTTCGGGGTTGAGACAAACCTCCTGCCCATTCTTGAGAGTGGCTCTGCAGGGAGAAGGCAGAATCCGCGTTGGCGGGAGGGTGGGGCTGGGCGGGGGGCCGGCGGGCATCGGGGCGCTGGGGGCCACCAGGACGCGAGCAGCCGCAGCGGTGTGGGGCCTCACTTACATGACTTCGGTTTGGGCGCAGTGGGGTCCCGAGGGCGTCACCTTGACGTTCTGGATGTTCTTGAGGTGAATTCCCTGCAAGGTCTGCAAGCACTGGCAGCGCAGCTCGGCGACCACGGGCGCCCCTGCGGGGAGAACAGACCGGGTTAGCGGGCGGCCCCGCGGTGGGCGCCCAGCGCCCCCCCCCCCGTCCCGCCCGTGGGCTGGGGGCGCGCCGAGTCTCACCTGCGGCGCGGCGGCCGGCGGGGACCAGCAGCAGGAGCAGCAGCGCGGCGCCGAGGAGCCGGAGAGCGCGGGGTGCGGCGGCGGTAGCGGCGCGGGCCATGGGGCTCAGCTCGGAGAGTCGGGGTGGCGGTGTCTGGAGCTGGCGAGCTGGAGCGCGAGCTGGCGGAGCGGATTCTGTGGCTCCCGGAGCCGGGAGAACCGCTTTTATCCCTGGCGGGCGCGGGGAAGTGAGCAGTCCCGGGGCCGGGGAAATTCCCGGCTCCGCAGGTCGCTTCGGGGTCTGGAAGGACAGCGCGGCCCCGCCCCCGCGGTGAAGGGGGACCCGCCCGGCCACCCGCGTGTCCCTGCGAGGCGGGGATCTTCTCCTTCCTTCGGAATCCCCAAAGGGGGCTGTGAGTGGCCGTCACGCTGCAGCTGCCCCCGCGGGGGGCAACGTGGGCGCCCAGGTTTGGTCAAACCCGTTAGTTAGATCCTTTAGGGGAGAGAATTAATTCTCAAAGACACTTAAGCAGCTGCAACAAGAAGAGTTGAGGCGGGAATGGCAGCCTCTCTTACCTATATACATCCTTTCACTTTAAGTGGGGTTTTGCAGCCTGTACTCATCTCCGGAATAAACGCTCTGTTTAAAAGTGTCAGTCATCTCAGATTATTTGTAAGAACGTTTGTCTTGTCATCTCAGATTATTTGTAAGAACGTTTGTCTTATTTCTGGCGTGTTATCAGCTCAGATAAATCACCACACTTTGCGCAGTGGGGCATGGCGGGAGGGTAAGGGGACAGACGGCGCCTCAGGCTAAGTCAGGGTTTATTTTAGGATACAGTTGGTAACCTGTCATATTTCTTGTCTTCTTTATTTCTGGGACTTCCCACACTCTAGTAATTCCTGGAGCCTCACTGTTGGTTGTCTAGGAGACTGTGTTTCCTTTCACGACAGTCATTCAGGAGCAGAGGGCTGTGTTGGGATTGGGAGGTCCACCTTTTCTAGGACTGACAGAAGGGATCATGGACACCAGAGAGCCAGGACCTGGCGAACTCCCACCTTTACTCCTCTGAGTCGCAAACAGATGTGTTTCCAAGTATGTAAATACTAGATTACTAGGCTATTCCACTGCACAGTCGTCTGAATTTATCTGCCTCCTGAATTGATCCTCTTGGGAAACACCTGCCAAGTATTTCAGTTTTCTAAGAATGCCAATAAAGCTTTGCAGTCTGTGTAGCTGAGGACTTCTCCCTGGGGCAATGCACTTTTCAGCATGAGTTTCGGATATCTGTTTGGGAATTAAAATGGATAGTTTCAATAGATTCTCCAGGGTAGCACAGACCTCACTGATGTGGGAGATATTCTGGTATCCTACTTGCCCTGAGAAGGGCTGGAGGCGGAGGGAGCTGGTCTGCCTCCTGAACAGAGACTGTGTGGTAAAGCCCTGAAGATTGGACACAGCTACATCCTTTCTTGCCCCATGACCCTCTGACTGTGGGCAATTTATTTAATCTCTCTGGGCTCCTGGTTTTCCTCTCTAAAGGAGAGCAAGTAATGCCTGCCTCACAGGGTTGTTACAAGTATTAGAAGTGTTAACATTCGTAAAACATCAGCACATATTGTGGAATATAAATATTTGTTAAATAAAATAGAAGTAGCGTTTTAAAACCTTCCTGTTATGGACTAAATATGCCCCCCACAAACTCCAATGTTGAAACCATATACCCCATTGTGATGGTGTATTAGGAGATGGGGACTTTGGGCGGTAATTAAGTCTATATGTGGTTCTGAGGGTGGGAGTCTCAGGATGGAATTAAGTGCTTTTATGAGAGGAGACACCCAGAGAGCTTGATCTCTCTCTTTCTGTCATGTGAAGGTACAGCAAGACGGTGACTATCTACAAACCAGGTAGAGGGTTCTCACCAGATATTGAATCTGCAGATCTTGATCTTAGACTTCCCAACCTCCAGAACAATAAGGAATAAATGTTCACTATTTAAGCCAGCCTGTGTATGGTATTTTGTTTTAGCAGCCTGAACTGATGAAGACACTTACCTGAACAAGAACACTCTGTGGTGAATCCCTATGTAAACAGGGGGAAAAACATCTTTTAATTTGTCTTTTAAAATTTTCAGAGTCAGGAATTGTGAAAGGAGGGAGCATCTATATTCTTTTGAGATCTTAGAACAGATTTTTAAAATCCAGTGTTTGAAATTTGAGTTTCCTATATAAAATGGGAATAAAAGTAAAAATTCTCCCCAATCCATTTATGGGAAAACATTTCAGTTATGACTATCTCTATGCCTTGGGCATTAAGAGCTGGCTGCTCAAACAATAGAAAGTATTAGCTGTAATGATTCCCAGACCCAGCCCAAAGTACTGACGTTAGCAAATACACAGGAAGAGGGGAATTTCAATCTACTTATAGTAGCAGCCAAAAGGATGAGACATTCAAGAATTAACCGATTATCTGTGGAATTATCTACAGTGTTCCTCCTAAGACTCATTTAATCAGAATTATTGGCGTTCAGGAAGTGAGTAGAAAGGTATTTTTTCTTTTCATAATGTACCACTTTCCATTATTTAATTCATTTAATTCACCCCCTACTAAGTTTCAGAAAATTTTAGGAGCACCAGTGTTATGAAGCCCACCACGATAAACAAACTGCCTCTTGTTTTAAGATGTGCTGAACGCTACTTTTGTACGTGCAAGCTGTAAATCCATGCAATCACTAACCCAATGAAGTTATCTCTAAAATATATATTCAGTGTACTAAATTTCACTTTACCCTGTAATTGGTACTGTATCTTTCAGATTTGACTAATACATTGCAATCTGCTTGCAAAAGCTTGGGTTGCTGTTCTGCACTGAGCACGGATCTTGTTAATCAGCCAGCAAGAAGGAACGGTGTGGCTCTGCTTTACCCTGGCTTGCCTTGAGAGCTGTGCTGGCATAATTGCCATGCTTCTCCCTCCCATTTCCTAACAGCTTTAGCTTGTTGGATAATGGTTCTGCTCTGAAGGGAGTGTGTCACTAATTCCTGAGATTGGCTACCCCCCCTCCCCCCGCCTAAGGGCACTCGGTTGCACATCTGTACCAACCTCCCCTTCCAGTCTCTACTACAACTGCTCTTTCTACCTGTCTGGCACCCGTTCTTCCTTCAAACAGAACCCTAGTTTTCCTTCAGGAACCCTCATCCTTGCCCTTATCAGTCCACACGATTAAGGTGAGATAACTTGGCTTTTGAGCTCGGGAGGGGAGTTTGTGACCTTCTGGCAGTGTGGGTCCCTCCTTCCTGCCTTTGCCTTTGCCCAGAGTGGAGCCAGTGATTTAAGATCAGCCGAGTCAGAGAAGATGCCATTTGTGCTGGAACAAAGAGAATTGAGGGGCTCTTGCTTCTTGCTGGGATTGCTAAATTGGTAAGATAGAAACTTGGAGTCTTGCCATTGCTTGGGGGAACCTGCCTGAGAACGGAGCTGCCACGGAGGAAGGCACGGGCCCTTGCAGACCTAGGATTATTTGGGACATTGTTGGGGCACCTGAATCTAGCTTTGCCCGACTTAATCCATGGACTTTCATTGTGATACAGCTGTTGATGTTCTTTCCTTATTAAGCTAATTGGAGTCACATTGCCATTGCTTAGAATAAAAGAGTCCTGAAAAATACTTCCATCTTTCATATTTTTTAAAAAAGATTTTATTTATCTGACAGAGAGAGAAGGAGAGAGAGAGAACACAAGCAAGGGGAGTGGGAGAGGGAGAAGCAGGCTCCCCGCTGAGCAGGGAGCCCGATGCGGGGCTCGATCCCAGGACCCCGGGATCATGACCTGAGCCGAAGGCAGAAGATTAACCAACTGAGCCAAACAGATGCCCCCCCATCTTTCATATTGCTGCTAAAATTATCAACCACAGATTGATTTCTTCACTATTTAAATCCTTCCTTCCCTTCGTTTCTCCATCTATTCATTTATAAGTTAGCATTTATGAATTTGGAATCAAATTAGGTCCCAGGAATACAAAAAAGTATAAGATGCGTTGTATTGCTACCAGATTTTCAGTCTAATAGGAGAAGTAGACATATGAATAGAATATTATGAAAAAGCCTGGTAAATGACATGATAGAGTATGTCCAGGATATGATAGGAGCATGGACGTGGAACCCCTAATCTTGCTTCTTATTGGAGTGGGCTGAATTCTCAGAGATCTTTGGAGAAGTCTCTCTAGGGTCGGAAAGGAGGGATTTCCCCAGGTGAATGGGGAGACTGAAGGGTGGGGAAAGCATTCTAGAACGAGATGACCAAATATGCAAAGTCATAGAGGCTGGAATGAGCATTGTGTCTACTGGGAGCACCCAGCGGTTTATACATCTGGAGTTTCACCTGTGAGGCAGGGAGAGGGGACCGATGGAGGCAGGACCTAGTCACTGAAGGCTGTGTGTAGACCCTACTTGTTCAGAAACCCGTTCAGTTTTTACCTCCGTTGGAATGCTCTTAAATCCATCTGAGGGTGTGTGCATGACTGTATGCGCACAAATTCACCATTTACTAAATGGTGTGTGGGATGCAGAGTGATGAGAAGTCAGAGGATGTGGCAGAGGAAATGAGGAGCTAGTGGATATTCGATAGACCTTTACTAAGCACTCATGGTGTAGAAGGTGCTAGGACAGGTTTTACAAGAGATGCAAAATTGGGTAAATGCCAGACTCTTGGCTTGACATTCTTTAATATCTATCTAATATACTCCCTTAATTAACTTCTGTTGTTGCTGCACATGTAGTGAAGATCCTGATGATTTGAGCAATTTGCAATTATTTACAATCATTTCGAGTTACACCAAGAAACATGAAAAAAATACTGACTTTGGGCAATTTTTAAAGGATTTTTAAAAGAATTTTTAAAGGATTTTTAAAAATTGCCCTAAACTAGGTTTTCACTTCTATTTTCTTAAAATTGTTTTCTAAATGTTTACGGAAGTCATCCTGATTAGGTAAATACTGCTGTGGTCATATAATGCAACGTGAAGAAATGGTGGTATGACAAATTTACAAAAGGGAAGTAAACACAGGAAAGGGGAAACTTCCCCATGGAAATAGTTTATGTAATCAGAAGATGTTTTTTGGAG